AAAAAAATTGTTCTGATCATCGTTATCGAAGTGAATAATCATTCGACTTTCCTGATCGGCAAAAAGTCATATTGAAAAGTGTCTAATGTCCGAGTCGCTCAAACGTCAGTCGCTCAAACGTCGGTCGCTCAAATGTCGGGCGCTCAAACGTCGGTTGACGGTTAAAGGACTAACCTGTAAACATGTCACATCACCAAATAGATCAATTTGTCTTAATATTATTTCACATGAACAATCATAATCATTTCTATGACATCTTTCTAAACATTCAATAGCATATTGTTCGAAATAGTCCGCGGATTCTGTTAATTTAGCTTTTGTGTCACTAAAGGAAGCATAATCATCACGATAGGTTTTTAAAATTTTTGTTGCGATCAATGCAGCGCAAATACGATATTTCATGTGAGCTAGCATGACTTTTGCCGTTTCAATATAATTCATTAATATTGTCCATATGAACAGATCCCGGAAAATATAATCTTTAGACATTTGTTCATAATCGGCTTCTTTTAATTTTATTTGTCCAACATGTGCTTCTTGATCATTGACCCTATTAGTATTGGTAGTGGCTGATTTTATCTGTAGTTCTTCCACAGCTGTCTTGTAATACAATGGTTTCATATAATCACCAACCAGTGTGTTCAAAATATGATTTAATGTGTCAATTGTATAAATTTCCTTTTTTTTCAGATCATCATTGGTTTCGATAACATTTTTTAGTAAGCAATCGTCGCGATTCTGAATATGGATATTAACAATCAAAACGTATCTGTTCTTCTGTGTAAATGAAAAACTTACTATCATTTCAGGTGTATATAGATTTTTTATTAAACTTTCATAACGATTTCCGCTTTGGTTTATAAATGGTGTCTTTGTAAAAAATATTTTATTAATAGGTACGCCAATTTGTATAAAATGATGAATAAAAGTGTACAAATTGAGTTTTAATGCACGTAACAATACTTTTTCTTTATACTATGAGAAAAAAAAACAAGTAATGATATCAATTTGATCAACGACTGGGGACAAGATATCGATTTACAATAAAGAGTAAACCTCCCCTTATAATAAAAGACCCGTGGTCTTCTATTATGTTTTAGCGTACAAATGTTTTAGGGGATTTTCTAATACGAATTTCTGTGCATAAAGAGTCGAATATCGTTACTATATTTTAGAAAGATACGATTAAGTAAGTTCACTATGACTATGATCAGCTGGAGCCAAAGATTTATCTTTGGGATCGGTTCTTCGCGACCGATACCAGGCAAAAAGTTGATTATCAAGATCAACAAAAACAAGTTTTTACCAATTTTTTCTTTCCTACGAAGAAAATATATTCTCTTTCCACAAAAATAAAATATTGCTTCTTCTTTTATTCTTTGTGACTTCATTCTCCATTAGACACGATTCAACAATAAATTGACGAAAATAAATTATGAAAAAACGGTGTAAAATGACTGGTAATAGAAATACTGACTGTTCATCAGTAACACACTATATCAAGACAAAATTCTTTCCCTTTCTTTTTACAAATTTTCAAGTGATAAGCACAGTAGAGTTCTATATTTTTCTCTGAAAATAACTCTATGAAGAGTTGAAACGTCACATCTTTTTTAATTAAATAAATTTAAATTCAATATATGGCTGCTGTAAATCTAAAAAAAGTTAAAGAGGTTCCAAAGGGTTCATTACAAGACCCGGGTCTTCTATTGTGAATTTCACATCGTAAAAGGGTCTTCTATTATAGAAGGGTCTTCTAATATGCAAGGATCTTCTATTATAGGAGGGTCTTCTAATATGCAAGGATCTTCTATTATAGGATCTTCTAATATGCAAGGATCTTCTATTATAGGGGGGTCTTCTAATATGCAAGGATCTTCTATTATAGGAGGGTCTTCTGTTATAGGAGGGTCTTCTGTTATAGGAGGGTCTTCTGTTATAGGAGGGTCTTCTGTTATAGGAGGGTCTTCTGTTATAGGAGGGTCTTCTGTTATAGGAGGGTCTTCTGT